AGCTGGAAGACCCTTTGCAGTTCATGCATGTTGAACCCCCTCAGTTTAAAAGTTAGGAAACTGAGGTACAGAGCGACCTGCACAGTATTGCAGAACTGAGACTAGAACACTTTGATCTTGTCATGGTGAATGGAACAGCATACTTTTTATATCATGATTTCAAAATGAAGCCTGAATAATATTTGAGTGTATGCTGTATTTACAAACTGAAAGAGGGTTCTTGTTCTTGCCTAACGTTAAGTATGTACACTCAAAATTGGAAAAGTAGTTTGTCTTTGGAAGAGAATTAATCATTTATTCTGAGTTACAGTATAAGTAAAATGTGTTTCACCATCTCATTCCATCAAGAAGTATACTAGATATAAGGGGGTCATGGCTCACTAATTTAGAAATATTTATAGAGCTCTGTGTTCAACATTAGATATTTTAATTGGTGGTTAGATCTGGCCTGGAAATTCAAGTTGCCAGAGCTTGGGACCGCTAACTTCTATGTTATTAGTTAGTATTTTGTAGTTTTTACATTTCTGCAAAATTAAATTGTTTTCATTGTGATTTTCCATTTTTCATGCTTTTCTCATCTTTTCCAGTACAAAGCCTCTCTTTTTTTGTCTAAAGTCTACCTGTTCTTTAAGTCTATCATCAATGCATTCCCTAATCTGTATCCTTTACTTCTTTCCCCCACCAAACAATCTGTTTTCCCTCTGAGCAATCTTCACATTTAAAACAGATTTGGCTTTCTACCATTTATATATGTCTCATCTATTCCAGACTTCTTAGTGTCTTTAGGGCAGGCTTCATATGTATTTTAATCTTTATTTTTCCATAGTAGTAGATACTCAAGTACTTGTTAAATGAATGAATTATAGTGTTATATAAAAGAAACCACAGATCTATAATCATAGCAGCTTACAAAGTACTAGGTATTAAAACAATGCTTCTTAAAGAATGTAGGAATCAAAGGTTGGGAACAGGGTTGAAGTCCATTACGTCAAACTTTTTACTTAAGGAATTTTTCAGATTTACTGTGCTTAGCCTGCTTTCTTGCTTTTTCTTACTACACTTAAGTATTTAAAAGATTTGTGACGGTTTATACTATTGATTGTATAATATCTAGTGTATCATACTCTCAGTTAAGAGAATTTTGGACTGGTATTAAGATGTTCTTCAAAGACAAAGTAGTAAATATTTGTATTTATATCACAATAGTCAATAATTCTGTATAGAGTTATGAATATTTTATTCTAGAATTTCATCCACATTAAACTTGACACATTTTAGAGTCACTTTTTTTTCTCTCTTTTTTACCTTAGATAGAGAAAGGCAATGATTTCTGATGATTAAAGCCTCCTAACCTTGACATGCTTTGCTGGGTGCAAATAAACAGTAATTATAATAAAAATGCTACTCTTTTTTTTTTTTAATAATGCTTGCACAGCCTTAATTTTCCATCTACCTTCCAACTAATGCCTTTTTAAAAGCTAATTTATTGAAAATACCAAGACAGTTATTAACTACATTTGATGATAAATCATAGGGGAGTTTCCCCTTTGCAGGTTGTACCCTAAAGCATGGAAGTTGGCGAAAGTCCATAGAAGTATGCAGAGTTAGCATACTGTTAAGGCATCTCTTTTTCAATCAAACTCTGATCAGCTGGCTTAAAAACCAAAAGGGCTAACATTATAGACACAGCTGTACTTTCTTTAAATAAAAATTGAGTGTGTGCTTAAATTTAGACATAGTTTTAGTTTGGTCAAGCATATTTTATACCATCTATATATATAAAAGGCTAATATACAAAGTGTCCCCGCGGGAGTTCAACCGGGAGTTTGATCGCTTGTTATGACGTGCACTGACCACCAGGGGTTGGCACGGAATGAAGGAAGGCCCCAGCCGGCAGCCAGAAGGCCCTGATTGGCCTTGATCGCTGCCCAGGTCTAGGGGCCCTACCCGTGCATGAATTTTGTGCACCTAGCCTCTAGTGTTACTATAAATGTGTAGTCTGAACTCTTGTTTGGGTTATCGTTTCATATTCTACATTAATAACCAGGTTGGTGTCATAACTGATAGGTGTTTTCTCTTTTGGCTCTCTTGCAATAAATGTTAGAGAATAATAATTTATGTTTAAATCACTTCTATATTCCACCAAAGATGTCTCTTACAGTATTTTTATTAAGTAGTATCTATTGAAAGCTACATGGCTTTTTAAAAAATTAATTAGATTACTTAATGTGGTTCTAAAAAACTAGTATCATTTAAATTTTACATACCCTAGCATTACCAAAGTATGTTCCAAAGAAAGTGAGTAGAGGTACTCAAAGGAATTTTGTTACCAAAGAAGTGTGCTGTGTGATGATGAAAAATGAAACACAGAAAACTAATATTTATACAAGACTTAAGTTTTCAAATATTTTCAAGATGGAGATAAAGTAAGTTGTGTTTGCCAAATTTATTTGACCAGACCCCCCTTTTTTATCCCCACCAGGAAACGTTGTAGGTCTAGTGTTCTGAGGAACATATTTAGGGGAAAATTGTCCTAGAGAATATATTTTTAAAGCAGGGGTGGGGAACATTCAACCCGCAGGCCCTACGTAAAAGGCCTGAGAAATCATTTGGTCTGCCCTGCCAAGTCATTAGGGGTCAATTAGTTAAATGTTTGACCAAATATAGCAGGCTAATTTTTAAGTTGATAATTTTGTATGGCCCGCAAATGATGTTATAAATATCCAAATGGCCTTTGGCAGAAAATTGTTCCCCACCCATTTTAAAGGAATGCTACATTTTAGAAATCCTTAGTTATCATCAGCATTATGGAGTTTATGAAGTATTTCTCTTTTAATATCTAAAAGATAAAATAAGTCCTGATACTTTATGATTTGAGAAATAATTGTAATCTCTTGAATCTGATTATCTCTTAGAAGAGAATGCAAGAATTTCTTATATAAATTGTTGATATCAAATACCATTTCTCTTTTTTTATATACTTAACTCCTATTATTCCTACTGCTTTGTCTGTTGTGGATATCAGACAAAAGTCATGCTTATTTTTTATACTCCAGGCAGAAATCCCATAAACATTTTTTGTATAAAATGTTACCTTTAATTTGAAAACTTTTAATATTAGACTTTGAGATGCTAGCGTTTGTGATAGATTATTTGGTAGACAAGTTACATTATAATAACTTGCTTAAAAGGTTGTTCTTTTGGAAACCATAATTCATTTCTTAAAGAAGGCATGGAGAATAAGTGAAGCAATATATTACCTAGGTTGACTTATTGATAATTATAATGGAAATAGATTGTGTTAGATTCATTGGATTTGTCTGATGTTTAGTTTTGTAATGTTCCCACTTTTTTTTGTAAATTTTCAGTTATAGAGTTTAATTTAAAAATTAAATATCTGGCTCTTATATCCTTAAGGAATATATATATTCCATTTAAACAATATAAATGAATTGACATTTGGTTAACGTGAATTAATTTAGTCCTATAGGAACCAGTCATGAGTCATGGATGGGAAAGTTCTCTCCAAGGAAGGAATACCATGTGTTAAGCTTCATGAAGGCAAAGTTAATCATTAAATAAATTGGCATTAGAGCTGACAGATATTTGTTGAATAAATGACTGAATGGTTGAATTAGATTTCTTAAATTGGAATTCCTGCTCTTCATTTTTGCATATCAGTTAAATAGTTACTGAATACTTTAAAAATATGTATTTATATTAGGAATTGTCAGAAAATACTGCAAACTACATTATGTCAATGTCCGTTACATTTTAAATGTTTCTTCAGTATCCTAGTTTTATGGCACCTTCATTTTTTAATTTTTTTTTTACTTTTCAGTGGTTTTTCATTTTCACATACCTTATCTCACTTTTTGCTTTCCTAGTCTCTCCTATTCCCATTGCTTCTGTTTTGGTCTTCTTTGTATATCACAATAAAAAAATAAATGGCACCATTGGGTAGCAAAACAAACAAACATTAAAGTCAGGTTATTATTATGAATTTTGCTTATGAATTAGTACATGGGATTTGTCCTTTTCATATTTTTCTTGGTAAGTGGAATTGAGAATCTCACATGGCAGTTACTGGAAACAGAGAAGAGTTGCTACATGATCGCCTGCATTTGCTGCATGATGTTACACTTATTTTATTGATAAGCCTTTTCATTTTTTAATTATACAAAGTGGCAAATAATACTAGGAAAGTTTAAGTCCTCTTTGACTACCATCTCCAATTTCAGTTCTCTTTGCAGAAATAACCACTATTCTTAATTGGTATAAATTCTTTCAGACCTTTATGCATAATCATGCATTTGTGCAGTATGGAATTATGTATTTGTATGAGCATATTTATCTCTTTTTTCATAAATGATACACTGTTTGGTTTTCCATATCTTATCTTTTTCATTGATTGATATGTGTTAGAGAACTTTGCATGTTAAAACATAAGGCTACCTTATTACAAATTATTTAAAATACCATATTTTTCAGTTATTTTTGTTAATTATACTGCCAGTGTAATAGACTATAAAAGCATCTTTATAAAAGGTTCCATGTCTAATTCATCATTGTCTTTATCTCTCAGAGCCCTTCATACCTAGTTAGCATAATATGAATTAGTTAAAGAACTACTGTCTCTTGAGTGTTTCCTTATTATCCCTTTGTGGTCCCTCTACATAAAACTAACTCTGGATTAAATTTTACTCAACATTTTTATATCTTTAAAACTGCTTTTTGTTAATATACTAGTATAGCATGCTGTTACTTAATGCAAGAGTCACAAATTCTAATCTTAAAAGTGTCAGTTGGGTCACATCATTGTTCAGTGAAGCAAGTTGGGTTAGAGAAGAGAGCAGAGGTCTGGGATGAAGCTGGAGCCTGCATATTCTTTGATTATTCAGGAAATTTTTCTGTATTTTAGTTGTAATTCCATTTTGGTCCTGGGAGCGTGTCCGTGCAGCATCCTCTCTCCTCCACCGCCATTTTCAATCTCCTGGAGCCTGCATATCCTGACTTGAAAGTGTAGCTATTGCTCAATTCCAGCCCATTGTTGGCCTCCGGAAATGTAGGTCCAGAGATCTAATTTAACCAAGTGATTAAGCACTCAAACTGCTTGGCTTTGAATGCCATCCCACCACTTACTAGTGTTGTGAACTTGGACGAATCACCCAATGTAACTCTGTTACCTCAGATCTGAAATGTGGACAGTAATAGTATCTACCACATAGGGCTTTTTTGAACATTATTCGTTAAAACTAATAAGAACTCTAGAACACAGCTGACACATAATAGGTACTATATATTCCAGATTTTAACGATTTTGAGATGCATGTTAGCATTTAAAATAAACATCTCTGAAATCAGGTTGCATCTTATAATTGGCGGTATTTCTTTGTTCTTGGTGATACATTTTAAAAAGTGGTGAATCTTATAATCGATGACTTCTTAAATTGTATGAAATACAATGTTAGCTATCATTAGCTACCAAGCTGATTTTTTTTTTCAAGAAAAGTTGGGAAATCTGAATTTTTATATGAATCTTTAGATTTTGAAATATTGACTTAAAATTATTTTTAAGACTGCATTACAGTGTTTCCCAACTTACCAAAAAAATACCTTGCAGTCCCTATAGTACCTGCATTAGGTACTCAGACTAACATTTCTCTGCATGAGAGGCAATGTAGGATAGTAGAAAAAGTGTGAAAGTGTGAAGCTCCGTTAGAATTTGAACTGTGCCACCAAACAGGCAGTGTGTTTTTGGGTTTATTGCTTATTTCTGAGCCTAGTTTCCTCTTCTGTAAAATTAGTTTATTAGTTCAGGTATTTGGATCAGCTGCTAGATCTGAGGTCAAAAAACAGAGCTCTGAGACAAAAGTTTGTCTTTCTCCACTAAAAGGCCAATTAGAAGGCGATCCTAGGGTAGTGGAGTTCTGCTCCTCAGGGTGTCCAGGGGCCTAGGTGCTGCTTTAGACATTGTTCTGCCATCCCTAGGATGCTGCCCTTACTTGAATTGTTAAAGATGCATCACTGAACCAGGCTAAAGTTCCAGCTGAGGGAATGAGAACGAAGAATCAAGAACTCTAGCCAGGTGGCTCAGTTGGTTGGAGTGTTATCATCTGAACCAAAATTTGTGGATTCAATTTCCTATCATGGCACATAGCTAGGTTGTGGGTGGATCCCTGACTGCTGCGCATACAAGTCGGGGCAGCAACCGATCCGTGTTTCTCACTTGGATGTTTCTGTCTATCTCTATCTTTCTATCTCTGTCTCTATATATTTTTCTAAAACATATTCTCAGATGAGGATTTAAAATAAAGAGCAAATAGCTTCCTTTAAATTTAAGAATATGACCTGGAAGGTACTGGCAACTCATTGGCAATGTGGTCACTGCCTAGATTTAAAGAAGGCTTGGAAAGTAGTCTAGGTGGACAGCCATGTGCCCCGCTTAAACACAGAGGGTTCAAATCACTAAAAGAGAGAAAGAATAGAGAAAGAGGCCCAATTGTACTGCACCGGGTTGGTTTTTCAAGTAAGGAATAAATGGAATAATGATCATTGAGATCTACAGTTTCTTAATATAAGACAAGCATACTTGTGTGCTGCAAATTTTTTGCTTGATAAATACCAACTGAAAAATGTAGACCTGTCTATATTTGAAATATATATAATACTAGAGGCCTGGTGCATGAATTTGTGCTCATTAAAAGTAAATTAATTAGAAGAAATATTTTAATATCACTATTCGCTCTTTCTCTATAATAGAAGTATCAACCAAATTCACGATGGACAATGACAGATTGAAACACATACAATTGGTGCCAGCGAGAGCTTTATATCTATAATAATAAAAGTATAACATGCTAATTAGACTGGAGGTCCTTCCGGACAGCTTTCTGGACCAGCCAAAGCCTGGGCTGCCAGGGAAGCCTGGGTCCCGGGTGCCAGAGGGAAGCCAGTGCTGGAAGCTGGGGGAAGGAAGGCCTACTCTAGCATGAATTTCGTGCATCTCCTGTGCAGCGCCGCCGCCTCTCCCACGGTGTCACCTCCCGTGCAGCCAGCCGTAATTCCTCGCAGCCGCTGTGGCTTTGTCCGGATGGACGTCTGGAAGATGTCCTAATTAGCATGTTACCCTTTTATTTGTATAGATGTGTGTGTGTGTACTATGTGATGTAAAATTGTTTTGGTTCATAGATGTATGCACATTTAAAAACTCATTTTTCTTTGAATATGAAATGCCATTTTCTAAATTAAAATATGTGTAAATAAATATAAAGTAAGAAATCATTTTCTGTGCCTGGAATTCCTTCTTCATGTGATACTCATCCTTTAACTTTTGACTCAAGTGGCACACTTAGTATTTCAAACTTAAACAATATCTTAGTTTGCTATAACAAAAAGACCATAGACCAGGTGGCTTAAACAGCAACTTATTTCTCATAGTTCTGGAGACTGGAAGTCCAAGATTGAGCATCTGCTGAAGGCTTACTTCCTAGTTTATACATAGCCATTTTCTCACTATGGGAAAGACATAGGAGCTAACTCTCTAGGGCCTCTTTATAAGGGCACTAATCCCATTCATGAAGGCTCCACCCTATGACATACCCTCCCAAAGGCCCCACCTCCTACTACTACTATCACATTGAGGGTTAGGATTTCAACATATGCATTTGGGGGAGGGGGATATAAGCATTCAGCCTATTAACAGTTTTACTTTCATATAAAATTGATTGCTTTTTCTTTTATATGCCTGCTTTACTCAACATATACTTATATACCTTTAACTTGTTATTATACTTTATTTATATGACTGTTTGTCTGTGCAAGCTCCTGTGGCCAGAGACCATATCTTTAATTTTGATTAGTACAACAAATGTATATGTGTAGTCATTGTGTTTATTGACTGAGTAATGACTGTGTAGTCTAATCTAAAAAATTTGTGCTTTATCCTGCAGGCTACAGGGAACTAATTGAGATTATCTTTATTCATGTTGTTTTGATTAGTAGAGTGGAAATAGCACCTTTGAAAGATGAATTTAGTCAGTCATGAAAATACCCTAGAAATTCCAAAAAAAAAAAAAAACCATTTCACTGTATTACAGTTTGCTCTTTTCTGCTTATAAAGATAATTCCTGTTTATTATCAAAATTCAAACATCAGAAGTAATGTAGACAATGAATATTTCTAGCAACCCACTAAAATATATGGTGCATAGTCTTAATTTTTTTCATTTATATTCAAATGGTTTGTTATTAATGTAGTTTTAAACCAAAATGAGCTCATGTTGAGCATATTGTCTGGTTTTTTCTTTTTTTCAGTTGAAACTATATCTTGAACATCTTTTCTTGTTAGTAAATGTGAATCTGCTTTATTCAACTTGACCAGCTGCATAGTGTACAGAGTGGAGCAAAAGTAGGTTTACAATTGTGAGTACACAAAACAGAGTTTATTCTTATATTATTATTTATTAATTATTGCATTATTTTCCATGCGAACAGCTATAAACCTGCTTTTGCCCCACCTTGTATGTGTACCATGTATTAGTTCACTATTCTCTGGCTGATAGATTAACCTTTAGATTTTTTTATTTTTTAATAAACAGCAGAAATTTATTGCTCACAGTTCTGGAGGCTGGAAATCTGAGATCAGGGTGCCAGCACAGTCAGGTTAGAACCCTTTTCCATGTAGCAGGCTTATTATTATATCCTTACAGGGTGGAAGGTAGATTTCCTTTTTAGCTATTAAAAATATTGCTACAAAGAGCATTCTTATATATAACATTTTGTAGGTCTAGGCTTTTTTTTTTTTTTTTTTAATCCTAACCCAAGGATATATTTAGAGAAAGGAACGGGGAGAGGGAGAGAGAGAGACATAGATCGTTTGCCTCCCATACTGACCCGACCCGGGATCAATCCTGCAACCTAGGTATAGTGCTCTGACCAGGAATCAAACCTGCAACCTTTTTTTATTCTACGGACAATGCACCAACCAACTGAGCCACCCAGCCAGGTGCTATGAGCATATTTTTAAAGGATAAATTCCTAGAAGTAGGAATGCCTGGCTGAAAGGGTATAAACATTTTAAGTTGTAATAGTTTTTGCCAAATTGCCACTTTTTTGGTTACCTTCCTTCTGAGAGAATATAAGCAAGTTCACTTTGTTGTTGTTGTTAATCCTCACTGGAGGATATTTTTCCATTGATTTTTAGACATAGTGTAAGGGAGGAGGAAAGACAGAGAGAGAGTAACATCAATGTGAGAGAGACACATGGGTTGTTAGCCTCCCACATAAGCCCAACCAGGGCCAGGTATTGAGGCTGCAACCGAGGTATGTGCCCTTGACCAGTATCGAACCTGGTCCACAGACTGACACTCCAACCACTGAGCCAAATAGGGTAGGGCAGCAAGTTCACTAATTTATATCTTTGTTTATCCTGGATAGTTGTATTTTAAACATTTTATAGAAGTATATAGAAAAGTACACATGTGATATATGTAAATCTTAACATAGCCAGATAACCAACACCCAGATCAAGGAACAGAAGAACATTGCTAGCACCTCTGCAGTCCCCTTTGTGCTTCATTCAGTCGCTGCCCACCCCCATGAGTAATCACTGTCCTGACTTCTAATAGCATAGATTAGTTTTGATTTTTATTTCATAAAAATGGAATAATTTGGTATGTGCTACTATTATTTTAATTTTGTGAATCTGTTAGATAAAAATAACTTCATTGCTATTTTATCGTCATAAGAAATGAGATTACTATCTTTCTGTATATCTCAAAGCTTTAAAACAGGGGTCCTCAAACTTTTTAAACAGGGGGCCAGTTCACTGTCCCTCAGACCGTTGGAGGGCCGGACTATAGTTTAAAAAAAAAACTATGAACAAATTCCTATGCACACTGCACATATCTTATTTTGAAGTAAAAAAACAAAACGGGAACAAATAGAATATTTGCATGTGGCCCGCGGGCCGTAGTTTGAGGACCCCCTGCTTTAAAACAACAACAGCAATGCTGAAATGTTAGCATGTTAGAACACAAAATAAATGAAGTCTTAGGGTTATGATTATCTCCCTCCAGTATTCCTAAAGCTAAGTATCTCCACCACCATCAAATAGCTTTCACATTCAACGAATAATGATTGAGGAGCTTCCAGACATGGAAATTCACATTTTGACATAAGTCTCTATACATCCACCAAAGATGGGACTGAGGCTGGAGTTAAAGTCCTGCATTGCACTAGGACAAACTACTGCAAATGAGGATGGAAATCCCAGATGGAGTTCCTAGATCTAGAGCCAGTCTGTGCTTGAAGTCTAGGATTAAGAAAAAGCAGAAAATGCCTACAATAGATTTCCCAGTCATAATATAAACTACCTAGAAAAAATTTAAAGATGTAGAAGACCCAAGTAGAGGAAATTACAATCATGCTTTATTAGGAAAACTATTTTTGGCCTAAGAAATTTTTTAAGTTGGATAATGAGGTTCATGTTTTCAAAAGATAACTATGTAGTTTTTTTAATGTTAAAAAAAATTATAGTAGGAAAGGTATCAGTTATTTAATAAAGAGTAAGTTATGGTCTTTCCATTTTGGAAAATCAATATAATTAATATGAAAGTGAATACAGTTTAAGGTAGGAATAATTCCTCAATCTGAGCAGTTAGAATGAATAAAATAAAAAAGTAAAGCTAGCTTTGGTAATACTGTTCCTGTCGGATGAAAAATGCAAGTCAGCATAGTAAAGACTTAGAAATCCTGCAGTGCAGAAACCTATTTAATTTTGTGTAACCTTGTTTCCCACAAGTTTTGTGATCATAGGAAATCTATTAATATCCTCTGGGACACTAGAAGTCTACAGAATATAATTTGGAAAACACTATGTATTTACTAGTAAACACTATTTACTCGGATACATAGGGTGCAAAAGTTTGAGTGATATGCCAAAATATTATTTATAGAATCTTAGTAAGAACTGTCATTAAAGAATGAGTAATTTATAATAAAATAATAACTGGTTGTTAGCTCTATAAAGTACCTGAATTATAGTGGTTTTTAAAACTATCCTTTATCAGATGTTTTCCAAATATTATCCAATTTGTGGCTTATCTTTTCATTCCCTTAACAGTATTTTTTGAAGAGAAGCAGTGATAAAGTCCAATTTATTATGTTTTTCTTTTATGGGTTGTGCTCTTAATATATACCTGAGAAATCTTGCCTAATTAAAGTTCACAAAGATTTTTCTCCTGTGCTTTCTTCTAGAAAATATAGTTTTAAGTTTCCAAATTCTTTTTTTAATGAAAGTTTACATACAGTTTGGTACTTTTGCTTTAATAGGCTCACAATTTACATATAGTTTTACAACTTGCTTTCACACACACACACACACACACACACACTATTTATTAAGTAATAGTATTTTCGTATTAGTACAGTTAATTCTTTTAAGTAGCTACAAAGTATATACCAAAGTATTTACCACAATTCATTTAGTTTTCTCTTTTTGGACAGTTATTTCCAGTTTTTTCCTATTGTAAATAATGCTCAAGTTTATTTTAAAATTCAGTTTGAATTTTAGTTCTTGTAAATTTATTAAAAGTTTTTATGATAGAAAATGTTTCATCTTTGTAGATTACCAGGTACACTCAAAACTTTAAAAATTTTATATACAGTTCTGACTTTCCTTGTTTAAATATATGGTGAAATTATGATATAAACAATTATTGTTTAAAATTTTTTTAAGTAACTTCCCATCTTCTACCATAACCCTCATGGATTATGCTCCCTTCTTGGTTCAAACAGTCATAATAGGCATGTTTAGAAAACTTCGGTTCTACTAATGATTTCTTTTAATTTCTCAGTTTATGTGACTTATTTTATTTTACGCCTCTTCCACCACTTTTATTTTCCAAGTCTCTGTTTGATCTCTGTAACGAGATTAAATTATTACCTAGTTATTTAATGATATAATATTACCTAAATAGTAACTTACATTTGTGAAAGACCATTTCCATTACATACCATTTGTCGATTTATTTTTATTTATTTTTTTCAGAATTAGGTGCTATAAATTTGGGGAAAACTTCATGTTTTTTTTTGTACTTTTTCTTCTGTTAATGCTGTTTCATTTTTTCTACGACAGATTCAAAAGCTTTGTGACCGAGTAGCTTCATCTACTTTACTAGATGATCGAAGAAATGCCGTGCGTGCTCTCAAATCATTATCTAAGGTCTGTAACGCTTTGTTAGTTATCAAGTTTATTAAAGTGGATATTAGTTTCTTTAACATTTTTATTTTGTGCAGAAATATCGCTTGGAAGTGGGTATTCAAGCAATGGAACATCTTATCCATGTTTTACAAACAGATCGGTAAGCCTCTTTAAGTCTTCTTGAAATTTTAATTAATTTGTTTTACAATCTCTGTTGAAGAAATGAAGGATAAACCTATTAAAACTATTACAATTCTTTTGTGTTTTTTTATTATAATTTTTTAAAATTTATCTTTATTGTTGAAAGTAATACAGGTGTCCCCTTTTTCTTTACCTATTGGCCCCTCTTATCACCCCGCTCTCCTCCCTTCTTCCCCCCCCCCCCCCCCCCTCGACTGC